ATTCCTAGAAGGCCAGCATAATGGTTTTAAAAATATTTAAAAGCCAATTATGCTGTTTAAAGGTATTTTATGGAAAATTCAAAATAAAATATCTATGGGTTGAGTTACAGTTTGAGAAAATTCATAGATTTTTTCCAGAATTAAAAAAAGTTTATGGTATGGACAGATGAATTTTTTGGAGCTTTGGATTGAATAATGCTCCAGTCAAATATTAAATAAATTTTGTCCCCCTAAATAGGAGACTAAATCAAGAAAAAGATCTAAAGGCAATAATGAGGCCGTTGAGTCGCCAAGCTGTATTTATGATATTGTTGAGCCATCTAATGAGTCATTGGGAGATATTTATGGATCATAGAAAATCATAACATAGTACGGGTATGTCTTGGATAGTTCTCTATCTACTCGACACAGCGGAATCTCTACTGCACGACTTAGTGAGGCTAAGTAACCTATCAGTGAAGCTAACTATTTTTTTCTGTGCTCCTCTAAGATGACACCATATGTGGGTTAAAGGTGAGGAGAAAACAACTTTGGAAGCACTGAAATTAAAGATGAAAATTTTGGATCCTAAGACCATATGATTTGGTCAACTCAAGAAATAAGGGAAGGAGTTAGATTTTGACAAATCCAAGCTTATATTTGGATTCCTCATGAAAAATTAAGTGGAAAATGGCCAAGCGAATGAATTTAAGAATCAAGATTAAGAAAGCGGAAAGTTAGGGTTAAAGAGGAATCACACTTGAAAGTTTGAGTTGTTAATGGTTTTTATGGTCTTAATAGATTGGCTATTATTGTGTAGTATGAATTTAGGGCCATGAGACACCAAGAAAGAGGAATGACAAGATTATTCAAACAATCTTGGTGGTTGGGATAAAAGGGAGTAAGGTAGAAAAGCTTAAAGATACAAGGTAGTGAACTTACCTTTCTTGTGTGCTTGATGTTTAAGCTTGTGTGTTGACATTTATTATATTATTTGATGATGACATGAGATGCAAATGCAAGTATGATGCTCCATTTCTTTGATGTTTTCCATAGCCATGCATGTTAATGTGAAACATTTAGTATGAAAACATGTTATAAGTAAGTATGAGTTAGATCAAGTAAACATGTCATACACCTGTATCCATCTTGCATGGATCAATAGTAATATTTGCTACTGAGATTCTTCCGAATCTTACCCACCCTTAACCAACCCTAATAGATGATAATGATCAAGCAAAGGATGCATACAGTGGAGGTAAGGAAAAGAGGAAAGAATTAAGGAAATGTATTATATTATATTGTGTAAATTTTTTGCCAATGCATGTTATAAACATGCCACTAATATTATGTGATGTTAAATAATGATGATGGCATATACAATTGGCTATGGTGATGAATGGAAATGGTTAGTACAATGATGGAATAATTACATGCATGGAAAGAATTAATTATGAATTATTAATGCAAGTTAGGGGGATAAGTTATCGCAAAATGAGCCTCAAAATGGTGGCAGAGTGAAAGAAAAGCAAATGATTAAATCTGCCTATAAAATTTGGCATGCTTAACTTATACATTCTGAGCTTTAAAACAAGTGATAGATCACTTAAATTGGATGTGTACTGTAAAAGTTATGGTCGCTCAAACTTTGGGCAAAGATCTGAAGAATACTGCTTTGACCAAATGATCAATAAAGTTCCCGTAATAAACTATATGAATTGGCAATGTTTAAGTCTAGATTTATATTTTTCCCTATACATAATTGAAAGAGCTTTAAATAGAATTTTGAACTACCTCAATATGATTTTTTTTTATAATTAGTTATGATTTATCAAATTTAGACCGAAAATCTGGAATTTCCTAATGAATAATAACCCGAGTAATTAAATGCCAATTTTCAATCTACAAGCATATTTCATGATCTACTTGAATCATAACACTTCCAAATGCGTAGTAAAGGGGGTTTAAAAAGGATGTTTCACATAAGTTTGTCTAATCCCATATAATAAGTAATCTCTCATGCTAAACATTATTTTTTCAATTTCAATCCCAATCACTATTCCTCATTTTTAATCCTTTGTACCAAATGGTACCCTATAGTTTAATTATTCCTTCCCCTCTCCCCACCACACACACCGCAAAAACAAAAAAAGAAGAAGAAGCACTTATTATATAGAAGTTATTAAGAAGAACTTCCAAATGGAAAAAGCCGAGTAAAGATTTGAAGTCATCATAACAGCAGATTGTTTAAAAGAGAGCACAATTGTATTAAGAATATTTTTATTTCCAAATATTTTTTAAAAAAAAATTAGACTCTTCCAGCATTAGAAAAGAGTAATTTTTATTTTCATTTCAAAACAACTTTTTTATTTTATTTCATTTTTGATAAGGTCACAAATTATTTTGATTTACCTGCAAACAAAATGGCCATTTACTTATCCTCCTCTCTCCTCTCAAATCCCCAACGATTCACCATATCAAACATAAAAATAACAAGAGGAGGAGGGAACTGGCTCATTTATTTCGTCTCCAATTCCCGTCATGATGCTTGCTACTATTTGCCCACGAATACCCGTCATAATACTACTTACAAATGACATTTTTGTTGTGAAAATATAGCCGCAAATTTTTTCCTTAAAAAAGAAAGGAAAAACCATATTGGAGGTACTTATACTTTTTTTCAATTTTCAATTTGGTACCTATGTGTTTTTTGTTCTTAACTAAATCTTTAATTTTGCTCTATTAACATCATTAATCCTTATGTAGAGACTAAAAATATCAATAGAACAAAGTTATAAGAGCTAATGTTGCTAAAAAGATAAAATTAAATATTTAATTAAAAGGAAAAAAACACATAGGTACCAAATTAAAAATTGAGAGAAAGTATAAGTACCTTCAATATGGTTTTCCCAAAAAGAAAAAGAAAAAAGCAGTTGACGCGACCATAGGATGAGCAAAAGGAAAAAGCAGATATTGGAAATAATTTGATTTATATAATGTTGATTGTGTATTGATTAACTCTATCATTGAATATTAATTATTATTATATATAAACTTTAGGAAATATTAATCATAATCATTTAACCATTATAATTTTGAGACAGTTAAAACTTAGTTATTGAACTTTTATTTGGTGTAATTTAAGCAATATAGTTTTACCTTAGTTAGAATTCAGTTCTTGAACTTCGACTTGGCATAAACTTAATCTCTATAGTGTTAACTATTTTAAAATATTGATCCCTACATGTAAAAAATCAAAACAATAAGAATCAAGTCAAAGTTTGATAACTAAATTACAATCAAGTTAAAATTATTGAGACTAAATGATTAAGTTTTTCTAAAATTTAAGTTCAATGTCAATACTAATCTTTTTTCTTGTAAAGCCTCCTAGCTCTTAACCAAACATATCCATATGCATATATATATATATATATATATATGTATATATGTATATATGAAGATTTTGAAAAATAAGTGTGAAGTTTATGAAATGTTACTCCTCTTGTCCTTAATGTAGGATTTAACTGAGGAGTTAATATTAGTCCTACATGTAAAACTTATTTTACAAGTTTATTAAAAAAAAATTTTCAAATTAACCTCGTTAATATTCACCAACAATAATTAAGTAAGAAAGTGAGGGAGCAAATTAAGAAAGATGCTTATAATGTTTTAGAAAGAACATATCGTATTAATTAATTTAACAATATTTTTAATCTACTCAAATTAGTTAACTAGGTTATACATTAAGAATCAAAGGAGCACTAATTTTTTATATTATTGATTCATGATTGATTATTGTTGACGTTGATGATAATTCAACAATAATGTAACCATGATGTTACTACATGTAATGAGAAAGAAATGATGCATCCGGCCCACAATATGAGGATTTGATTAACTTTTCTTATATGTCAAGCAATGAAAAATTAGTCATTAAATGTGTCTAAAAATGAGAAATTTTTTTTTATTTTATCTCTAAAATTGATAAAGTTACTTTTAGTGTTACACTTTTTTTTTTTATAAAAAAAAGTCTCTCATCTATCTCATCTCTCTCCGATATTTAATAGGGATAAAAATGAAAAAAATACATTAATTATCCTTACAGCATCTTATATTGTGGATTATAATTTTTTCTTATAACTAGCATCTTATATTATAGAACAGAGGAAATGGTCATGGAGTGATTACCCTATGTATTAAATACGATTTATTACTAAGACAATTTCTCTCGACATTTATGTGTAGTTGTTCAAATAGTTGTTGACTTTTAAATGTATTACATACCTGTTTCTTTTGGTTCAAAATACAATTCATATTTTTTAAAATAAAATTATTGTGATTCAAAATATAAGTCAGGTTTAAATAGTATTTAGTATATTCAAAATATTTTTTTCTATTTTATCCTTGATTAAAATTAAGAAGTGAGAAGTCTCAAATTAGAATTTGATGCATTTAATAAAATAGTAGTGGAAAGGAATGGAAATTTTTGACAATATATTAACGAGTTATTCAACCGTTTTACCTTCTCGAAACACATGACTTAACTATATTTTGGATAGAGAAGAAACATGTGAGCGAGAAAAATTAATCCTAGCCGCTGACCGTTCACTGTAATGCCAAAACATGTTAAGATCTGAATTGTATTGTCTGAGAATATTGCACCATGCATACAAGCCAGAGAATTAAGTTTTTTTAAGACAATTATGAAATTCAATCAATAATTAATTCAATCGCTTAGCTTATCAGCTGTTCATGCTAACATTGATGTAAAATCTGAATCCCACCCACTACAGAACAGCATCCAAAAAGCATTAGATGTAAATTAATTCCCAAAGATCTTCCCACATATAATCAGAATATTCTGATGAAAAAGAAAATGTCACAGTGGAAATATTCAAACGGATGGGCACAGCTTTTCCTTTACTTTTATTACTTTAATGCGCACGAAGAAGTCAAAAAGAAAAGAGTCATGATTTCATAATACACTAAAGAAAATCTTCAATCGGTATCCAAAGCCTGATGAAAGAAGCTTCTCACTGCACATGAGCACTTTACAACATAACATTGAAGGGAAAAAACACAGTAAAATTAAGTATATGACCCGTTTTTACAATATATTCTCAAATCCCACCAAATATATATGAAGGTGTGGATCAAAAAAGTGAAACTGATATATAGGTAATTAAAGACAGAGTTATTTGTTAATTAGTTTCAAGCTTGTATTTCAAACCTTGATGAGTAGGACTTAATGGATCCCATGGATATGTCGATTTCTATCAAGTTGTCTTCCTCGTTCATATCGAAATTGTATTCTGCTAACAACTCCATCATCATCAGACTTTGTTGCTGCTGTTGCTGCTGATGCTTCAAGTGTCCTGTTGGAAGTGCAATTTCTATAAGGCTTTCTTCATCAGAAATCGACCCATCTGAGCCGTCAACGCTTCGATCTAAGGGCCAATAGCAATCAAGTTCATCAGATTCCTCAGATGTTGACATCTCTTGATGATGAGCTTCACTATTTGACAATGAATCTGGTGATCTGGTTGAGTAGTTATTTTTGTTAGCATCACTTCCACCTCCACTATTGTCTTCATCATCATCCTTTGCTTCTGTAATATCGTCTCTTTGATCTGAGCTTTCCTCTGCATAAGAGGACGCCTTTTCTTGACCACCATTATTATCATCCTCTTCTTCTTCCTCCTCCTTCTCCTCCTCCTTTGGTTCTGCAATATCTTCTCTTTGATCTGAGCTTTCCACCATAGAACTCTTAGTTTCACAAACGAAATCACAGACTGCTTTTTGATGTTTCGATGCAGTACAAATGCAGAAAATGGTAGAGAAAACAAGTACCAGAGATGTGTAGAGTAAAACAGACAAGAAACCAAACCCAGGAACAAGATAAGTGGCAAAAAGAAGTGAGATTAACGAAGCAGGCACAACAAAGATCCATGACGGTGATGGAATAATCTTGAAGAAGCACAGACAACTAGAAATCATTTGATTAGCAGCGAGTACTTTGCTTTCCCACTTCATGGATTAATCGGAAAAAGCCTATAATTAGTTTGTGAGGCCTGGCTAAAAAGCTAGTCTGTTTATATATGTGTATCTATGCGTATATTAGGAGGAAAAAACCTAAACAGCAGGTCTTTTTACTTGGAACTTCAGGAGAATGATGAGGTGTAAAAAAGGGACCAAGCTAACTACAGATTTAGGGTTTTCAGAAATCTATTTGTTCTCTTCATAATGATCTCATGTAGCTCGCTAGGTAGCTAGGAGATATGAAAGTGAGATAGTTTTGCTTCTTTTTATTACGAGGTAGTTTAGGTTGTGCCCCAAGTCTGAGAAAATCACACTTCCCGAGCTCCCTATTGGCCCTAAAATGCAATACAAGAATCTGATTTGTTTTGCTTTCCTTTCCTGTTTTTTTTTGCTTGTTACCTATATGAATGATTCATTTGGAAAATAGTTTTGCTGTTCGTCCCATTTAGATGGTGTAATTTTTCTTTTAATTTTTATTAATACAGTTTATGCGGTCATATTTAAATTTTGTCAAGTCTAAATGATTATAATTCTCCTAAAAATATCTTTTGCATTTATACAATCTCGTGTTTAAGTAATTATATATAATTCCATTAAGATAAACATTTGTCGGTGAGATTAATTTTTTAATTAAAGAAAACATTACTCAAACGTCTAAATTAAATGAAAAATAATTGTTTGGTTCTCATTAAAATATTGACATAGCTCCAATAGAATACAAAGACCATATTAATTGTTTTATTAATGAGTGGGAGAAAATTACGGTTCCCAAGTAATTGGCCTTAAAATAGGTGGCTTTATGTGCAGCGGCTGATTCTTTAAAAAACCAAACCATGAACAGTGATTGACTGTGTGAAGTGAAACATTATTTGTTTGTTTTACCTCCAAGAAGAGCTTGTTGGAACAAGAGAAGCCATGTGCTCACATCTAAGATTACCACATGGCACCTCTGTCTCTCCGATTTCAAGGCCCTCAGTTTAAAAATTATAATCAAAAGAAGTACAATGCCTACATTGTTTTATCTTTTCATTTTCTGCTGCTATAATATCATCAAGACCCTAAACTGTTTTTTTTTTAACGAGCATCAAGACCCTTAATTACTTGATTGGCATTTAGGCAAAAATTATTGGGAAACCTAGTATATTACTCCTCTTCTCCTATTTATAGAGAGGAGAAAGAAAAAAATATTTGGTTCTATTTAGAGAGCAGAGAGAAGAATTTTTTATATGAATATAGAATTTTACTTTTTATTTATTATTGTATTAACTTTATTCTCAAAGTATAATGTCTATTAAATATGAATAAAGTTGAAAAGCTATTGAATTTTAAAGGAGAATTAATGAAGCTTAAAGTTTTTCTTGGTTTATGGGAAATATTTTGTATATGACTTATAAATACGACTAGAGGAGTATGATTCAAAGGCTAGCTAACTAAAATTCTCTCCATGAATACATTAAAACATGAAAGTATGAATATCTTGTCCACGATTCAAAGGCTAATTATATTAATTAATTAGTTAGCCTTTAAATCATCAACAAGATACCCATTAAATGTATCCATACATCAAAAGAATTTCAATAAAACCCCATTCACTCGATGCCTAAATAATTTTTTTTTACATACTTTTTTTCCCGTACAATGACTTCTAATTGTCTAGGAAAAACCATAATATATCCTCCTAGTCATATATTGCACTTATATGTGTTCTTAATTTTGGATATTGGAGTTTTAATCCAATGTATATGTAGATTTTGGTATATTAGAGTTTGGTTGAATGTATGTAGGTTTTGGATATTTTAAATTTTAATATTAACTTTCTACCTTATTGTGTTCGAATGTTTCTGCAGGTTAGAGTAAAATATTTTTACCTTTTATTTTACCTTAATTTTATGGACTAGTACCCCACTATTTTGAAAATACATACACTTAAATTTAAACCGTTAATCTCATTAAAATATTCTAAAATAATTCTAAAATATATATGTTAATTAAAATTTATAATAGAATAAATTTTATTAACTATTTGACCCCTCATCACGTCTAATTAAATCCCTAATTCATTTTTAATAATTTTTGCAAATTTTAACTAAATGTGTTTGACTAATGTAAATGGGTATAACAAAAATAGTATTTGAAAATTAAACATTATAAATTTAAATTATTTATATAATCTCCCAAACTCATATCATTTATACTATATGATGAACAAAAATGTGTTTAAGAATGTGTTTCTAGCCATTGAAAAGAAATCTAAATAAAGTTTAACCTAAATAGAGAATGAGCAACAGTGCTAATGGAGAGGGCGTGACAGCACCATCACAGGAAGAGACTGATGTAATGTCCTGGTTTTAAACAACGATTTAAGAGTAATTAAGCTTGATTATAATTTGATCTTGAGGTGTGTTAAGGGTTATTTGAGGTGGATAAGAAAAAAGGAGCAAGCTAGAAGTTGTTTTGAGACAATGTGACTCTATGTTTTTTGCCATAGCAAGGGTAGTCGTTCGTTGCAGCAAATGTCTGTAGAAGAGGGGAGCAAGATGCTTTTTATGCTATGGTGATATTCACAATGAACATCACAAAAAGGGAGACCTAATCACTCTTGAAGTTTGCCGCAATGAGGGGTTAAGTTTGTCACGGTGAGCATGCCTGAAATTCAAAATTTTTGGTGCCTTTGTGTAGTTCACCATGGTGAATGTGCAAAAATGCTAATAAAAACTAGTGTCAGAAACATGAAAAGCAGATGGAGAAATGAGGAGGAATGGGAGAGCTTTACTAGGGTTTCTCCTAGATTTTCTCATATTTGAAACTTGCAATTTTTAAGGTTCTTGAAGATTTCAAAATTTCTGAGTTTTTGACCGAATCATTAGATAAGAGGTTTAAACAGTTTAGTTTTATTGGATTTTGATTCATATGAAATTTGGTGGTTAGGGTTTGAGATTAGAAGTGGAATTTTTTGAGTTTTCATAATATAGTGATTAAAATGGCGTTTTGTTGATTGAGTTTTAATTATTGACCATAGATAAGAGTTTTAATCGGTTTAGATTGTTAATATTGATTGTTTATTTAATATTGGATGTGTTGAAAGTTGAAAATTCTAAGTGCGTGACTTGAGAATTGATTGAATAATTATTGTTGAGGTTAATCAAGGAATCTAATGAGTTGACTAGGTAATTTCACAAAGAAAAAACTACTTGAATAAAGAGCAGAGTTAATACAAATACTTGGTGACTACAACTTTGGATTGAGAGTTTTGGTTGTAAGTTGGAAAGTTTGATTTTGGGAGTTTTTGTGGGATGTGAGACTTGGGGTTTTTGAGTTTTGTATTTTAATTATGGCTTGTGTTTGACTATGATATACATGGTGATATAGATTAGTGTGTGTCGAAGCAGTGCTTTGTGTTCAAGCTAAGTGCTATACTTGGAGTTGAGGTAATCGAGGTTACTTTTGCTTTATGGATTGTAAGGTTTTCTAAATTCTTTCAAAATATATTGATTACAATTAAGATGTATGAAGGAAAGGCATGTATTATGTTTGTATATAAACTTTTGGTGAAGTGAGAAGTATTTTGATATTGTTGTATGGATTGTATTGGTAGTTGTTCTTTGTGGTGTTTATATCAATGAATGTTTTGGAGTATGCCATTTGTTATCTTGTCAATTGTATTCCTAATCTGTTATGTTGTACTTATATGGCATTCCAACACTATGATCAAGTGTTTGATCTCTTGTCAAGACCTTGTAGTTCTACCTTTTCCCTAGCCTAGAATCAGGATAGAACGCCTAGGCAGACAACTCTTACATAATAGTCCATCCTTGGGTGGTGTAGGTGTAGGATGGGGCTTGTGGACCTTTGGCTGGGTTACTCCACATGAAAGGTCTGGGTCCACGTCAAGGGGTTATAAGGAGGAGTACGGTGGATGGGAGGGCATACACTGTTGTGATGATCGTTGCATCTAAGGTTGTTTGCTTATAAAGTAAAGTATGGCTTTGTAGCATTACTTCACCTACTTACTATCCTACTTGTATATGTTATGAAGTAAGCTTTGGTTACTAGGACTTTATGTCTTTCCTCCTTAATCTCATTATTTTCAAGAGAGCATTCCAATATTGCCCATCATAAAGGAAAGCAGCTAGAGGCTTAGGTGAGCATAGCCTAATAGGCCTCTCATGGCTTAGGCTAATAATAATAATGTAATTTGTCATGCTAGGGATCATGTTTTGTATATGCATATCTAACTGCCTTTTTCATACTTTTAAATAACTGTATTTTTTAAGAATATTTGCTTAATGGCCAAAGGCCATAAGATTTCTTACCTATAAAACTTGTGCATCCACATTTATCTTCGTTTAGGAAAACTCTTGTCTTATTGATGGTCGTTATGATTATGAGATAGTTTAAGCTAAGCAGGTGTGTGACTTGTGGGCTGGGCATAGCTCTTACTTTTCTTTTGCCCCAATCCTTGTGTGATGGATTTTTTTGGGATGGTTGTGGGTGATTATTGTGCCTTGAGCCATGGAGGACTTTGCTCTGCACTAAATTCTTTATAACCATGGTAACTTTTTTTAATCTAGTCTAATTCTTTCTCCACTATGGTTAACTTCTTAAACTATTTCAAAATTTTGGTTTTAAAGAAAGGTTTTTTTAAGTTGTCGTATTGTACAGAAGCTAAAAAAAGATGCAAATGAGAGATATGATGGTGGGTAACAACCATGTCGTAGTTCCATATGAGGATTGGATAACTGATGAAGTGGAACTGTCAAAACCAAAAGAGTTGAAGAAACCTTATTCATAGGTTTGTGCGAATGATGGGAGCACCAGTAGTGAAGAGGAAGAAGATTTTGGCTAGTGGTTTGGAGAAGTATGGAAGAGTAACTTGTAAGTTGAGCAGATAGCAAGAAGTCTAAATATTATTATACTACCTGAATTCAAAAGAAAGCTTGCGAAGAAATGGAAACTCACATTGATTGTTGATTGATGAGATAAATGGTTCGAGAAGATTACTTGGGACAAAAATTGTAGAAGTCTGGGTAGCAAAAGTGATATTGAAACACTAGAATTTGGTTTGGACTTCTTCATTATTAACTTTA